CCCTCACAGAGGTCCACACAGTCTCCAGGAACTTATCCCTTTGTTCCCACTCTGAGTGTCAGCTCAGGTACAAGAGAAAGAGACTCACATCAGGTGGATGTGAGATTCACTTGGCTTGGAAGCCCCACCCACAAGAGCCCAGAGCTCTTGTAACATGGTCTTAGGTTCCAGATGCCCTCAAGGGACATGCCCAATTATACGAGTCACTGCTCTCTGACACGCCCAAAGCTTGGGTTTCCCACCATGGAACCCGCAGTCTCAATGCAGTTTATCAAGGAGAGGCCACATTACATAAGCAATTTTGCCTACTATTACAGCTGACATGCCATCTTTATCAGATTTCCACAGGAACAGAGCTAGAAAGCGAATCCACGGTCAAATATGTCCAAGAAGGAGAAGGGGTTTTGTTAACCTCGTACCCTGAAATATATACTATATTTTGAGGAGGATTTAGTTGTTTGGGTAAGAAGTAAGTTAAAATGAAGGTGAAAAACATGATAGCATGTGTTACTGTTCTCTTCATTGAGAAAGAAAACTGTAGCATTGTATAGGCCAGGACATCCCTCAGGGTGCCTTCCTCCCTTAGCAAGCCCACATCTGTGTAGGGCACCCCTTGGGTGAGCCTGGTTTGCTGACCGCAGAAGCCTGTCCACCTTGATAACAGTGCGCCTTAGCCCACCGTTCTGCTGAAGAGGTTTTTCCAGCTTGCCCTTCTGCTTAATAAAACCATTTTGATGGGAATCTTCCAAACTTACATTAAACTCTACCTTCTTAAATGGAGTGACTTCGACAGGCCCTTCTTTTTTCCAGGTTTCAGAGGCATCCTGCAGCCCCCCATCTGGGAGGGTGGCTTATGGTGTCCTGAGTAGTGTGGCTTCCCAGGGGGCCACACCCCCAAGCCAGGGGCTCAGCCAACACCTACAAGGACACCAGGGCTTTGAGCTGGGGCAAGTTCTCCCAGATTCTCCTGGGATTAATGTTAGCATCACTGCCCAGTACAGGAGCAGGAGTTTCCCAGAAAAGCAGAAAGTGCCGCCTCCATGGGCAGTTTGGGATGAGGCAGGAGCTGGAGCCTTTAACACATGCGCGACTTAATAACTTTCCTGCCTGTCCACTGACTGTGATTTCATTTTCGCTGGGTGCCTGTCTCTAACAGTTCTTCCTTTCTGAAGTATTTTTCTTTTCTTCTCCCCTGATTTTTTTTCTCATTTCCAAAAAACTGGAAAGCCAGATTTCAAAGCTAATCAATGGTTTGTAAAGAGTCTATAGACTTGGAAGGAAGCTTTGAGTAACTTTCCAGTGAAACAAATGATCTTTTCTGTCTGCTGTGCGTTCTCAAGCTTTTTGCCATTACTTCCAGGTTTTAGGCTATTAAGAGTTTAAAATTGGCCGGGCGCGGTGGCTCAAGCCTGTAATCCCAGCACTTTGGGAGGCCGAGGCGGGTGGATCACAGCTCGTTGTAACCCGTCCCAACTGCTGGATTTCAACTGATCCTCCTGCTTCAGCCCTCAATGAGTAGCCTAAGACTAAGGCCACACCCCCACCAAATTGAATCCTGGCTAATGTTCTTCAGTTTTGTACGAAATGGGTCTCTCCATGGTTACGCAAGGCCCTGGTCTTGAACTCCCCTGGCCTCAGTGACTCCTCCTGCTTGCCCTGGCCAAAGTGCTGGGATACAAAGTCGTGAGCCACCCAAGCCTGGCCAGGTTTTTTATTGAATAGAAGAAAACATTTGCTATTAAGAAATATAATAAGAAAAAAAAACAAAAAAACTAAATAAAAATCAATCTTACTGCTTGCAATTGTTCAAGATGCTAATTGGGTTGCTTCAGGTGTGAAATGTTCATCTTAGTAAGAAATCCTTGTTTGCTTTAGTTCTTCGATGTAATTTTTCAATAGTAGTTCACTTTGGGCATCTTTCCAGAGGTTTTCTTTATTAGCAAACTGTCTTCTAGTCTGTAATTAATGGTGTATAAGTCAAAAGTAGCGTAATTATTTATCATATCTAGGTTTTATTGATACATCCAAATACAACGCATCTAGGTCCCTTGAACATGAAGAAGCTTAAGAAATTAAGTTTTTTCAAAGAATTAGGCTTAAATTCTTAAAATTCTTTTTCTTTTCTTTTTCCCAGACCAGGGTCTGCGGCGCTAATTGCCCAGACTGGAGTGCAGTGGCACGACAACT